ATTTCTGGTCACTAGTTATCACAAGCTTCATTGGAGCAGACTTATCCTTGATCACGTCCAATACATAGTACAAAGAGCAGTGTCTTCCTCTGCCTCCATCATCGTTCTATCGCACCTTCCTGATGTGTGTGGCAAATGGCCGCTCGTTAATTTGATTTTCACCTAGATCTAACATGATTCACGTGTATTTCGGGCTGGAGAAATCCCGGATGTTGACAAGTTGGATGAGTCAATTTTACATTCAATAATGATTGGAATAGGTTAGGCCTACAGTATTTGTTCCTGTTCGATGGAATATTTGCCGTATGTGCGGAATATATATTTGTGTCATCCATTCTCTATTTCACGGCATTTATTCCGAACTGGAACATTTACTACTCGGAACCAAATCATGTTTACAGGTATGTGTCAACCAAGTCAGCGAGCCTGATCACCCGATCCCGTTAGTCGCCTTTTAAGACAAGCATGGGTTACCGAAGGTTCATTCTATCCGGGATCTTCACGGGTTCCTAAATAAACATGTAGCGAAGCACTTTGAATGAAATTTGATGTCACGTATCGCGCGTGGCACGTGCATTTACTCACTTTTTGCATGCTTTTTGACACCTGAAGTTCACACACCTGATATTGAAAATTGAAGAACGGTTGATTATTCTCTAGCCTCTGAATGTTGTGGAAAACACGCTAATTCCAACTGGGCGTACGTCATGCCAGGACTTACAGAAAAATCAGCTTCTCCGCGACGTACCCAATATAAGGTACATTATAAAATACTAAAACATACTGGAAAAAAATGTAAGTGAAAAAGTAAAATCTCTACGTGCATAGTCTTTAACACTGTATTGCTAATTATGTCCTATCATTTTAACCCCAACACCCTGGTATGTCCATCCACGTGACACTGTACAGGGAATGCAAAATCGTGGAATTTTATTGCTAATATATAATGCTTAAAAAAGAAGAAGAAAAAGGTGGCCAGACATTTCGGTATCCATCTAAACGCAATCTCACCTCAATGGAGACGTTTTCAACACGGGAACACGACTGATTTGCCTCGGACCGTCCGTCCAATAGTGACGTCACGTCGGCAAGACAACCACATTCGGCTGACCCATTTAAGGAATCGATTGCAGACTGCTAGTTTGACTGCTCGGACCATTCCAATCAGTTCCAGGACTGTACAAAACCGACTGAGGCAGCACAACATCCGACCCGGTCTGTAATATATCCAATGGTGTTCCAACGTCACCGACAGGCACGTCTTGTCTGGTGCCCGTCCACGTGTAGCTCGTGTTGTGACAGATTTCCTGAAACGGCAGAACATTCCGGTTTTCCCTGGCCAACTGATTCTCCGGACCTGTCCCCTATCGTGCACGCTTGGAATGACATGCTGCGACGTTTACGTCAAACCCAGAATCAGCCATTGACGTTAGCTGAATCGGAACAAGCGTTGGTTCAGACATGGAACATTATTCCCCAAGTTCTCTTCAATCGCTTAGCGTCGTCTATACGTCGTCGTTGTCAATCCTGCATCAGCGCCATTGGTGGACATTAGAGTTGGGTATTGCCAATATTTTCGTATTGCGATATATTGTGATATGTGTTGGCGTATTGCAATATGTATTGCAATATAGTGTGGCCACTGTCAGGACTCAGATGTGATTGTACAAGAGATCAACTGAAAATGTTTCCAAATTAAAAACTTCGCTCTAAAGTTTGGAACTCGAGAAAAAGCGTCCGCCATTTTGGTTTGTTTATCCTTCCAACGAGTGCCGGTACCAATCTATTTTTTCTTATTTATACGGTTTAAAAGTCACGCAAATGTGCAAATTGCTATTAATTATATGACCAATAAACATTCTCAGAACTATTAATGTATAATAATATAAAGGAAATACAAATGTTATAAGTACTTTTGACTACATCACGAAAATTTCCGATCGTATCGGGTGGACCGGTTCGCGAAAAGTGTACCGCAATACATCGTATCGTGAAGTTCGAATTGCAATATACCGGTTAACCGGTATTATCGCCCACCCCTAGTGGACATACACGATACTGAATTTGTGAACTGACTCTTGACACCCCTGCGTTCCACTAGCATAACTTCAGGCAAATGTTGGACAGCGAAAGTAGGGTTTATTACCGTGAAGTAACATTTGTGATGTTTGTAACAACAAATAAGGGTGGCATCCAGGCATTTTCAGGTTGGCCGCATTTGGAGAACAATGGACATAATCTGTGATGATAAGCATACAGGTAACACTAAATTCGCAAATGGAATATAAAAGAAATTGTACAACGAAGAGATATACATAAACCAGATTTTATAGAATATTTTGCTTTATTCATGATATGGCAATCAAAACAATATATAATTTAAAAATATAATTCATTGAATGGACATCTTAGCACAAATTATTTTAATCATATTTTTTATACTTACGATAAAACAATTTCATAATACACATCAAGTCTTCACTGTAGTTTCAATAGGTTTGAAACTGCGTCTGTGTACGCAAGTACACTCATTCTGCCTGCAGACAAATCATCCTTCAAAATGTCTATTCTGCTGTTAATGTTGCAGTATTTCTTCTTCTAAGGAAGAAACCTCTGTCCAGCACCATACTGGACGAGGCCGACTTCATTCAGTTTCTGCTCTACCCTAAGAAAAGACAACATCTCAAAAATATGTTGGACACGATCTCCTTAAGACGTCCATGCCACCCTTCCGGGTGGTTGTTCGTTTCGTTGGCCGGTTGTCTCCTAGTGGTTCCATGAGTGGACCCATGAGTGGACTCGTAGATCATCCTTCACCTGGAACGTGCACGTGCAAGACTCCCTGTGTGATTTCAGCCTTTACGCTACAACATACACGGTGCATGTTTTCCCCGTGCACGTGCGTGGATTGGGGGGCGTGAAGTTGTGTTTGTACTTGCACCACGTGGCGGATAGGTTACCTATCTGTGGACTATCGATAAGCAGGGCGTCAATTCATGCTTGTTGATTAGTTCCATTTCAGAATCCCGGATAAATTAAGCGCGAACACAACAGTTTATCCGAACGGTTTCACGAGTTCCCGTCTTCTTACACGGAGAAAACACTCAAAGCACGAAGCCAGCTTCTCTACCAACAAAGAACCAGTTTATAGGTAAGGACGAGTCCATTTGGTAAGACTTCCGCCCGTATTTCCCTTAAATTTTAACGATGAGGAAAAAATGACTTGATTTGACTAGCGGCGGCATACGGGCGGAAGTCTTTCTCTCATCTCTATGGAAATGTTTTCAACATAATAGGAACACGAGAGATTTGCCTCGGATCGCCGTCCGCATGTGACGTCACGTCGGCAAGACAACCACATTCGGATGACCAATCTAAAGAATCGATTGCAGACTGCAAGTTTGACTGCACTGACCATTCCTGGCTTACGTCCAATCAGCTCCAAGGATTGTATGGAACCGACTGGGGGAGCACACCATCCGGCTCCGACGGACTGCAAAACGTACAATTTTGCTCCAACGTCACCGACAGACACGTCTTGCAGGGTGCACACAGGAGTGAGAGAGTGAGTTTAGTTTTACGCCGCACTCAACAATATTCCAACTACATGGCGGCGGTCTGTAAATAATCAAGTCTGGACCAGACAATCCAGTGATCAACGGCGCAAGCATCGATCTGCGCAATTGGGAACCGATGACCTGTGTCAACCAAGTCAGCGAGCCTGACCACCCGATCCCGTTAGTCAGGTGCAGACAGGATCTATGGTACAGGAGACAAGACTGGGATTATTGTTTTAAACTGACGAGTCGAGATTTCATCTGGACAGCTCAGATGGCGGGGCAAAGGTGTGCAAGGTGAACGGTATGCTGAGGCAGTTTGGTGACCGAAGCGTTATGATATGGGGGGACCTCACATTTCCTGGTGGGACCTCACATTTCCTGGTCGGACTCTACTTGTCATTGTCAATGACAATCTGAAGGATGAGATCACTGGTTTCGATTTCGATATTATCCTGTCATTAGTTGAACAGTGATTAAGGAAAACACCACAAATCATGTATTTATCTTTTTGCATTAAAAATGGCATAACGTCAAATAATGCACAGTTAAACATCAAATAATGCACATGCAGTTACTTTATTTCAGTAGTATATAAATCCTCCTTATTGTTGCTTGGGGTTTTCTAGAATCGTTTTTTTTGTGTGGTGAAAATTGAACGGTTGGTTGGTTGTTTTTTTGTTTAACGCCGTACTCCGCAATATTCCAGCTAAATGGCGGTGGTCTGTAAATATCGAGTCTGGACCAGACAATCCAGCGATCAACATCATGAGCATCCATCAAAATGCGGAACCGATGACAATTTGTCAACCAGGTCAGCGAGCCTAGCCTCTCACGACAAACATGGGTTGCTGAAGACCAATTCTAACCCGGATCTTTACGGTCACAAATTGAACGGAATATACAATGACACATTTAACTCATAAACTGTAAAAGTTCTCAATGCACATTACCAAAGATATTACTATTGTAAATGTCATTATGTCCATACATACTTCATATCAGTTCGCGCTATTTCGTGAAACAGCTTCTCATTGTCAATCTAAGGCACCTCTTGCCTGTTTGTCCTTCCGTCTTCATGTCTGTCCTACGTGTCGTTCTGCCTTCTTGTGTGTCTGTCTGTTGTCATGTCTGTACCCCTTGTCAGCGGTGTCTGTCTGTTTGTCTCTTCATTGTCCAGGTTGTCTGGATGTCCCCCTTGTCAGACAGACAGACAGATAGACCGTAGACTGTCGATCTGTTTGTCAAGACCTGATTGTAATCCATGTTTGGCATGCTCAGTTCAGTGCAAGTCTAAATTAGCACTTCCGACACCTCAAACTGTCGTAATATCAAAGTTAACATAATAACAAAAACATAATACACGGTGCGCCAGAAGACCGTTATGTAACAATAACAGTTAACACTAGTTGCACGGAAAGCAGTTTGTCCCGGCTACAAGGGCCGACATAGGAGCCCACTTTGTCTCATCACCGTTCAGAAAGTGTCCGATCTTGTTGAAATTGAAAATCAACAATTACAGCCGATGTAACGCCACACAATCACAGACAGAGGTAAGTCTACATGGATTTCTATTTTTTCTCCACTTACAAGTCCATGAAAACTCTTGTTTTCATTGAAGATTGGGTCGCCGCATGTTTCGGCCGGGCGAGCTGGCTGACAGAAAAAGAGGCGAAACATTGAAGCTTGCATATGTAATTAGCTCTCTGTTTTGATCAAAATACGCAAATCTAGACGTTAACAATGGCCAATCGCGTTACTAAAGTGATTTATTTGATAAAATGAACCTTGTTTAAGTTACCTATGCCGGGTGTCTCTGTGTAAAAACGTATTTTTGAGTTTGACACGACAGGCGTCTGAGAGCGTTGGTTCGAGGGGTCACCGAGAGCTTCTCGCAGTCAACATACTCAAAACACATAGATTCACACCTACAAGCTGCGATCGCAGTAAAATTAAAGTCTAGGATTGTTTAGCTTTCAAAATACCCCAAGTTGTCAGTCAGTCGTTTCTGATCGCGTCACCGACACGCGAAATCAGCTGACAGAATATATGAAAACGACATGCATCCCCGATTTCAATCTGACCCGACGTGATGGCACGAGACGGAACTAGAATTGTACCTCAACTGTTCCCATTTGCTTGTGTTCACAAGACTGTTGTCGTGTTTATTTGATAATATAACCAACTATTGACGTATTTTCGTTTGAAATCGCAGGCGTCATGGCCTGATGAAATCGACAAGTGTTGTGATAGTACCTACAGCAGGTGCTCGCTGGGCTGTCAATCAACAACGTAATCAGTTTCAAATCGTCCGTGGGTCGTGATGTTTACATTTCCTTGATGCCCCTCTCGAAATTCTATTAAACCCCCTTTAAAAGTGTATGATTTAAACTGTAATGTTTGTCAGGTATGGTTTGTATGTTTGTAAACATATGAGATGAGGTTTCGGTTGAATCGCTCGTGACATTGACAATACCACGTGACCGTTGCAACAATGTATTTCAGAGTGGCGGAAGGGGAAGCAGCACAGGTTAAATCATAAGGCTTTTTGTTGACGTTGGGGAAAAATCATACTTACAAAGGTCGCTTCAAAACAACAATAACCTACATTTATCATTGGCTGTGTAGCTTGTGTCAGTGTTATGCATAGGCAGTAGATGGGGACATTCAAATTAATGAGTTATTTCCACGAAGACTGAACCAACTCTCCTTTCATTTGGACATAGTATTTTCTCAGAATGTCTATGAAATGGTGATAGTAGTATTGTCACATTAGCCCATAAAATGAATAAGAGGAAGATTTTGTAGAGACATTTACTGTTTGATGTTTTAAATGAGGTTGTGTGTCAGGCTAGGGATAGCAGTGGCGATGCTGTGATTCTCCCATCCCAAGTTTATTGTGTTCATATCGCAATGTGGTCATTAATTGTAGGGGGCGGTAGGGTAGCCTAGTGGTTAAAGCGTTGGCTCGTCACGCCGAAAACCCGGGTTTGAATCCCCACATGGGTACATCGTGTGAAGCCCATTTCTGGTGTCCCCTGCCGTGATGTTGCTGGAATATTGCTAAAAGCGGCGCGTAAAACCAAAACTCAGTCAGTCTGTCAGTCATTAATTGTAAGTCCTCAATTGATTGTTGAGCAAAATGTTTTGTATTATACTGAAAGCTCAGCACCATTGACAGCAAAGATGACATGTAAATTTCCAACAACCTTGTCACACCTGTGAAGTTTGAAGACTCCATGGCCTTGTGTACATCTGTGGATATATGTTTGTTAGTGTGGACCAAGAAGGCTGTAATCAATCCTTTGTGTAAATTAAATTTTTTGACTTAAAAAAGTTTTGAAAGTAAATGCTTTTGGTTGTATTTTTAAAGAAAATATAATATCGGATTTCTAATTTGGAATAAAACTAGCAGTGGTATGAATGTTATGAATTATTGTTGGGTCCGTCAGTTTGGTGTTATTCTACAATGTCGTGAAGTTTGGAGTAGAGATGTCCAACTTGTGAAACACAGTCTACATGGCATTCTAAACTGCTCCACCTTTAGGGACTTCACAAACATATAGGTACGATTCACGTCTTCTAACTTCATACTAGAATTATATGTTGTTTTGGCTCTGGCATTCTGAGAGCAAGTTCAGGAATATTGTGAAAATATTTATACCAAGTTCCCAGTCAATTGACCTTTGAGTACAACAAATATTGTTCAAGATGTATTTTGTCAAAAAGTTAAGAATCTGTAACCATGGTAACAACTAAACAAGGGTTTAAGTTTACCTGTGTTGACAGTAAAGAAAAAACAGCCTCTGTGGCAGTAATGAGTGAGTTTAGTTTTACGTCGCTTTTAGCAATATTCCAGCAATATCACGGCAGGCGACACAGGAAATGGGCTTTACACAATGTACCAACATTGGGAATCAAACCTGGGTCTGAACACTTTAACCACTAGGCTACCCTGCCGCCCCCGTGGCAATGAACTCACTGTTCAGTGTTGATGTAGCCGTGTGGGCATTATTATCGAACTTATCAGTCGCCAGTGACAAACAGGTTTGGTTTGCGTTAATTAAAAACTACATATATATCTTAAATCTGCAATGAATCAGCTTTCAGGAAATAATAAATTGATGTTTCTGAAAAATATGCATATAAGAGAAATTTGCTAGTGGCGTAATGATTCATCGATACGCATCGATCTATGGGCCGCCGATACAGTGAATCAATACAAATCTTTACATTTTCGTATATCCTGGTACGATACTTCAAATGGGCCACAATACATCAACGTTTAACTTTGGATATTGCCAAAGCACGATATCTGTCAAGACAAAAGACTTACTTTTGTTTGATGATTAAAATATATGCATAATTATTTTCCCTTCATAAGAAAACGTTTTCTAAGAAATTCTTGCGTCAATAACTGTATCAGACATAGCGCTCGCATGTTATTAACATTCACAAAGTCCGTGTATAAACTTAATTTTCTCGTTTCCGAATGAACATTGAAAAACGCTGGCAGAATTTGACGAAATACTTTAAAATGGTTTTGTTTTGATATTAAGGTGTTTTATAGTTGGTGTTAGAATTAAAGATTTTAGTATCGTGATACGTATCGTATCGCCACCCTTATATCGGGATTCGTATCGTATGGCAGCTTCAGTGCAAAATACTTTGGCAATATATCGTCGTGACTAAAGTTTTAGTATCGTGAGACGTATCGTAGCGTAGGTTGTATGCCAATACCAGCACTAACATTTGCTGTAAAAATGTCCGATGTTATCAAACTTTGATATTTGTCCAAATTTGACCATTTAATTATTCATGTCATTCCACAACTTCTACAGTTATCAATGACTATACCTTAATTGGTTTCCTTACTTGCTTAAAATAACCCACATTTGTGTAGTGGTGGTGGGGTAGCCTTGTGGTTAAAGCGTTCGCTCATCACGCCAAACATCCGGGTTCGAATCCCCACATGGGTAGACTATGTGAAGCCCATTTCTGGTGTCCCCCTGCAGATATTGCTGGAATATTGCTAAAAGTGGTGTAAAACTAAACTAACATGTGAAATATTCTGCTGTCCGTGGCCAGACAGTCACTTGTATGAGTGACTCCCTTACATATACCCGGTAGTCACATGCAGGTGCAACGGGGACAGTGTACATGTTCTGTCCACTACTGGTCACTCTTTCACCTACCATGTGCTTGATTTAGTGCTTTGTTACTTGCACTGGTGCAACCCAATACTACAAAGTAAAACCTAGTTCTTAGTCTAACTTGCACCAGGTGCAAGCAAGTTTTGAGTTGGTAAACTCTGAATAAAACATCCAAATAACTCAGTAGTATATTTCTTACATTACATATTGCAACAAAAGCAGTGAAACTGTAATTTGGCTGGTGCAACTAGGTTTTTATCTTAGGTGGCACCTGGTGCAAGTAGGTTAACATCTCTTAAATCGAGCCTGTATTCCTATATTTCACCTCTGGCTGGACCCTGGAGTGAGTGAGAGAGTAGAGTGTGGTTTGGTTGATGTTTAATGCTGCACTCAGCAATATTCCAGCTCGTTCAGTCCAGGGTTCAGCCAGACGTAAAATATCGTGTCCTATGTGTTTCAAATGAAAAAGGTTAAACACGATGCCACGGATGTCAGATCGATTCAATTGGAGACTGGCAGACAGTCCTGTAGGAATCTGAATCTATATAATTTGGATAGTAACAAACAAGCCCATTAAAATTAAAAAGCCTGAGGGAGACCAGAGATTCAGAGCCTGAGGAAATCTAGACTTGCTTTATTTAGGGCTTTTGCATTGCAGAGAGGGCTTGGCAGTAGGGAAAATAATGTGGTTCAGGGACTGTGAGACAGACTACATTGCAGGGAGGGCTGGGCTGTAGGGGAAATAATGTGGTTCAGGGACTGTGGGACAGACTACATTGCAGGGAGGGCTAGGCTGTAGGGGAAATAATGTGGTTCAGGGACTGTGAGACAGACTACATTGCAGGGAGGGCTAGGCCTCTAGGGAAAATAATGTGGTTCAGGGACTGTGAGACAGACTACATTGCAGGGTGGGCTAGGCAGTAGGGAAATAATGGGGTTCAGGGACTGTTAGACAGACTACATTGCAGGGAGAGCTAGGCAGTAGGGAAAATAATGTGGTTCAGGGACTGTGAGACAGACTACATTGCAGGGAGGGCTTGGCAGTAGGGAAAATAATGTGGTTCAGGGACTGTGAGACAGACTACATTGCAGGGAGGGCTAGGCAGTAGGGAAAATAATGTGGTTCAGGGACTGTGAGACAGACTACATTGCAGGGAGAGCTTGGCAGTAGTGGAAATAATGTGGTTCAGGGACTGTGAGACAGACTACATTGCAGGGAGGGCTAGGCAGTAGGGAAAATAATGTGGTTCAGGGACTGTTAGACAGACTACATTGCAGGGAGAGCTAGGCAGTAGGGAAAATAATGTGGTTCAGGGACTGTGAGACAGACTACATTGCAGGGAGGGCTAGGCAGTAGGGAAAATAATGTGGTTCAGGGACTGTGAGACAGACTACATTGC